TTTTTTTGGTCTTGCTCCCTTTGTAGGCCAGGCTTGTCTCAAAACAATGCTCCTGCCTCAGCCTCCTGAGTGCTAGAATTACAGCTATGTGCCACCACACCCGGCTTTTCTGTGTATTTGATTGTCTTGTCTCTATTACTGTGTATAACAAAAACAGTATTGTTTGACTTGTTTTTCACTATTCTCCCAACATCCTAAAGACCCATAAGAAAGTGTTAGGTAGGTTTTTGTTGAATAAATGAATAACTCTAATTATGATGAAAAGTTTTAATTCAGCTAGAATTTAGATCAGAAATATTGTTCTTACTCTTTTGAATCTTCAAAACATTTTTGTAGAGTTCCATCCTTTTCCAGGCTGTCTACAAAATGCTCCAACTCTTCAGAAAGAAAAGATGCTAGAGAGAATAAATTCATGTTTCAGATAAGGAATATAGAAATTCTCATAGTAAGACCCTGTATCTTTTTCTTTTCTTTTTTGGTTTTGGGGATCAAACTCAGGACTTTGAACTTGCCAGACAGGGGCTTATGCTGCTGAGCGATCTCCCTGGCCCTACAAGACCCTATCTCAAAAAAACAAAATGATAGAGAAATAACATACTTCCATGACAAAAATGCCTGAAAAAACTCAACCACCAAACCAGCACTCCAAAATGTTTGGAAGGATATTCTAGAAAAAGACAACAGAGACGACAATTCCATGAATCCCAGTATAATGAATCCACCAGGCAAGGAAAGTAACTAAACAAAGGGAATAGAAAGGGGACCAGCAACAGGAAAATAATATGACAAGGCCAATATATATTAGTTATAACCATCAATGTAAATGGTCTCAAGTCACCAATCCAAAGAAACAGACTGGCACAATGGATCTAGAAACAAGGCCCAACAGTATGCTGCACAAAAGCAACACATTTAACTCAAAAAGAAATTCATGGACTGAGGGCTGGCCAGACAGCTCAGCGGGCTAAAAGCGCCTGCTTAGGCACAGCACAGCAGCTGGGGTTTGATCCCTTGATTGCTGTGCTGGTCCCGCCCCCAGGGTGCACTAAGATGCAATTGAGACTGGGTGTGGTGGCATGTGCCTGCAATCCCAGTGCTTGGGAGGCTGAAAACAGGAGAATCTCTATGAGTCCAATGTATGTAGTAAGATCCTGTAGGCCCTGTCCTAAAATACATTAAAAAAGAAAGAAAAGAAGTTCATGGACTGAAAGTTAAAGAACAGGAAATAATATTCCATGCAACAAGAACCCAGAAAAAAGCAGATATAGCTAGCTACTCTACTTGAAGACAAAGATAACTGCAAGCCAAGATTGATCAGAAGACAC